TGCTCGCGAGTTTGGACAATATGTCTGCCCTCGTGTTTTGCTTGCGGGGAACATGTGAAATTTCCGCCCGTACAAACTTTGTCATGTATTTTTTGACTAAGTTCAAGTACTCGACGAGGTTGTCGTTTTTGGCTTGGTAACTCCCCTGGACTTGGGAGGCGACGAGTTGGGAGTCGATGTAGATCTGAACTTTGCGGGCTCCCAGGTCCTCGACTAGCCTCAGTCCTGCGAGCAGGGCTTCGTACTCTGCTTGGTTGTTCGACGTCGGGAAGGAAAGAGCTAGGGAGTGTTCGATCACAACGCCCTCTTCGTTCTCCAGCAGGATTCCTGCGCCACTTCCGGACGAGCTGGATGCTCCGTCGACGAAGATGGTCCATTTGTGTTCTTTCCCCGTGGGTGGGTCAGGAGTGGTCATTTTCGCGACAAAGTCGGCCAGGGTATGCGCTTTCAAGGCTTTCCTACTCTCGTACTGGATGTCGAATTCAGAGAGTTCCAAGGACCATTTCAACATCCTACCCGCCATATCGGGCCGACCCAGGAGTTGCCTCACCGGTTGGTCGGTTCGCACGATGATCGTGTGGGCCAGAAAATAGTGTCTGAGCCTCCTCGCCGCGTTGACGAGGGCTAGAGCCACCTTTTCTATCTGTTGGTATCTTCTTTCGGGTCCTTGCAAGGCTTTGCTCGTGAAGTAGACGGGTTTCTGTCAGTCGGTGGTCTCGCGGGCGAGAGCCGCGCTGATGGCTTCGTTCGAGACGGCCAAGTACAAGTACAGTGGCTCCCCGTCGGCTGGTCGAGATAGTACGGGCGGTTGAGATAGACTTTGCTTTAGGTGGCGAAGCGCCTGTTCGCACTCCTCGCTCCATTCGAAGGCTGCTTCCTTACGAAGGAGTTTGAAGAAGGGGAGGGCGTGCTGTGCGGACCTCGCGACAAAGCGGGACAATGATGTGAGCATGTCGTTCATGATTTGTATTGACTTCTTCGACGTTGGTGTCGGGAGGTCAGAGAACGCCCGACATTTGTCGGGATTGGCTTCAATTCCTCGTTCTGTTAGGTAGAATCCGAGGAATTTTCCTGCCTTGACCCCGAACGTACATTTCTCGGGGTTGAACCTCATTTTACATTGTCTTGCTTGGGCAAAGACCGTTTTGAGGTGTGCTGCGTGGTCGGTGTCTGCTCGAGATTTGAGGATCATGTCGTCCATATACACCTCGAGCATGTCTCCAATCTGTTTGTGGAAAACTTTGTTCATCATACGTTGGTAAGTTGCCCCGGCATTTTTCAGTCCAAAGGGCATTACGTTGTAGTAATAGTTGCCCGAGCTGGTTATGAAAGTCGTGTAGTGTTTGTCGCCCAGGGCCATCGGGATTTGGTTATAGCCCGAGTAGGCATCCATGAACGACAACGTTTTGTAGCCGGCCGAGTTGTCGACCAGCATGTCTATGTTAGGCAAAGGGAAAGCATCTTTCGGGCAAGCCCGGTTGAGATCGGTATAGTCAACACACATCCTCCATTTTCCATTATTCTTTTTAACGAGTACAACGTTTGACAGCCAGGTGGAATACCGGGCTTCAGAAATAAAATTTGCCTCTAGGAGGTCTTTTACAGCTTTTTCAGCAGCCTCCGTTTTTTCTGGAGACTGCCTACGCCTACGTTGTACTACGGCCCTAGCGGCTGGATCTATGGCGAGGTGGTGACAGGCGACCTCAGGGTCGAGTCCGGGCATCTCCGCGGCGCTCCAGGCGAACAGATCAGCATTCTTGCGCAAGCAGGCCTTGATTTGCTTCCTTGCCAGGTCGGGGAGATCCTTGCCAATCTTTACTCCTTTGGTCGGGTCAGTGCCGAGGTGGACGAGCTCAAAATCCCCGTCCGATATTGGTCGGAGTGGGACTTGCTCGCCGCTGGAAGGTTCGTCCTGGTCGAAACGAGTGTCCAGAGCTATAGAGTCGACCTTTGGTGGAGCTCTCTAGACTTCTTCCTTGGGGGACTCTTGCTTGTCGGGCTCCTGTCGCGTCCTTTTGGCGGGCCTGGTCCCTAAGTCGACAGTATCGCGTCCCTTAGAAGCGGCGTTGAAACACCTCCGGGCAGCGGCTAGGTCTCCTTGGGTAGTAGCTACCCGCGCCCTCTTGGTGTAGAACTTCATCTTCAGGTGGACGGTCGAGGGCACCGCTGTCAGTTCTGCCAGTGTTGGTTTTCCTAAGATGCAGTTGTACAGAGACGGGCAGTCGATGACGAGGAAGCGTACTTTGACTTGTCTCGTAGTCGTCCCTTCACCGAACGTAACCAGGAGCTCGACATATCCCCAAGGCTTGGAGGTCGAGTCGTTGAAACCTTGTAAGTCTGACCCTACATACGGCGAGAGATGTGAGTCGTCCAGCTGTAGAGTTCGGGACAGTTGGCTGTACATCACGTCGAAGGAACTCCCTTCGTCGACGAGGATGCGATGTACATCAAAATTGGCCATTCTGGCCCTTATCAGTAAGGGGATGACCGCGTTCGGGGCTCCGCCGAAGAGCTCTTCTAGGTAGAAGGTGATGGGCTCTGACCTGCCCTTCACCCTTTCGAACGTCACTGTTTGCGGGGGAGCCGCGTCGACCAACTCGTCCAGCTTCCTCTTGGCTGAATTGATGGTCAAGTCGTTGAACCCGCCGCCGTTGATGACCAGGGCGGAGGGGAAATATTCCCACCTGCTATGCGTTGTGAGCGGCTCCTGCAGGTGCTCGGGGAAGTCGAAGTCCTCGGGCCTGGTTACGGAGAAGGCGGTCTGGATGGGGACCGACTCGTCAGATGGTCGGGCATCCTCCTCCGGCTCCCTAGTTTCTTGGGCGTCACGACGGGGAGCGTCACTTCGCCGGTACTGCGCGAGCCTCCCTCCCTTGATGAGGGTTTCGATGGCGTCCTTGAGGTGGACGCAATCCTCAGTCAGATGACCATGGCTCCTATGGTACTGACAATACTTGTTCTTGTCTGCTCCGGGCTTGGCGGGAGCAGGTCGGGGACGTTTGACACCGCCGTCCTTGAAATCAGTGTTGGCACACTCCGCCAGAATGCGCTCGCGGGAAGCTGTGAGCGGAGTGTACTCGGTGAAACGCCCCGAAGGTCCTCTTTGTTCCCGGGCTTCCCGGGGTCTGTCTTCTTTCCTTTTCTCCCCGGTTCGTCGAGGAGGAGCTTCTTGGCGCGAGCTGCTGTTGGGCCCGCGAGTTCTGGGATCTCGGGCTCTATTGGCCGCTTCCCTCTCCTCGTAGTCCATGTATGCCTGAGCTTTTTTGAGGAGGGCGTCGAATGTCCGAGGTGGCTCGATACCCACGGCCTTTCTGAATTCTGTGCCGGGGAGGAGCCCCCTCTCCAGCAGATATCTCTTCATATGGTCCGCACAGGGGACCTGTATAGCTTCCTGGTTGAAGCGATTGATGAACTCCCTCAAGGTCTCATCCTGTCGATGGATGATGGCCTCGAGGGCCGCCTCGGTCTTCGGATGCCGCCGAGAAGCTGTGAATGAACTGATGAACTGGTTCTTCAGGTTTCGCCATGAGGTGATTGAGCCCGGGGCGATTCCTTTGTACCAGTCCATTGCCGCCTTCCTGAGAGTCGTGGGGAATAGTCGGCATTTGATGGGCCCCCCGACGTTGTGGTAATGCAGCATAGCCTCGAACCCGTCTATGTGGTCGACCGGGTCCGCGACTCCATCGTACTCCTTCAAGTGTGGGGGCTTCTCCATGCCCGGGGGGATGGGCGCTTCCATAATAGCTTGCGACAGGGGACCGCAGGGGTCGTCCTCGTCGCTTCTCTCCGGAGACAGAAATGGGGACCTGTAGTACTGTCGGGCACGACGGTCCTGGTCGTGCTGGGTCTCTCTCGAGCGAGATGCTCGTTGGTTGATTCTTACACGCCCGTCTCCGGAGCGCCTTCTTTCCTGTCTCACCGGGTCGGGACCATGTCCTCCGGCTTGGATGATGGGTTGCCTCTCCAACGGGGGCCGTTTCCCCGATGGTCGGGGTGACTGGCTTCGTGAGGTTTCTCTGTAATGTCTCCGCGGGGGAGACGGGAGTTGGACTTCAGTCACTCGATGAGGTGGAGTATGGGGCCTCCGATGCCTCCTCGGGGGTCTTCGATCGTCTTCTAGCGCCCTTAGTCTCTCCCCTTGGGCGAAGATGAATAGTTCGTTTGATTAATCGCTGCGAACATCGCTTGAGTTGTGGCATCCGCCCCGACGGGGACGGGGACTTCTTGGAACCGGGCAGCCCTGTAGTTTGCGAGGGCTGCCGGGTCGTCTTCGAGTGGCGGAGGGACCGAGGAAGATGAGGCAGTAGTTCTGTCCCGGTAGGTGGAAGGTCTAGGGGTAGTTGTCGCCGGAATGGTGTTGTGGCCGGGGTTGCCGGCGTTATCAAGGTGTCCGTTTTTGTCCGCGGTGTCGTTGTTAGTGTCGACGACCCGGACGTTCTGCTCATCGCGAGCTTGATCAGCCATGACAGCGGTAGTTGAATTTGAGCTTTGGTCTTTGAGTTTTGCAAGACGGGGAAGCTAGATTCCCACAGACGGCGCCACTGATCTAACCTGATCAGACTTGGACCGTCACGGCTGGCTCCGAGTTGAAGTTTTGAACGAGGTGGGGGGGGCACCTGCAAGGCACTCCGATGCTGAAGTAAGTAAGAGTACGAGCAGGCAATAGTATGAGTGTGGGTCTAAGAATGAATACCTGACTCTCTGGGAACAGAGGGTATTTATAGCCCTCAGCGCTGGGCCAAGGTTCCTTCATTGGGCCGGGCAGGTTTGGCCCAATGGAGGAACTGCCAGGTTCTACGTGCGTAGTGGGGACCCGCACGTGGTTCCCTTCTTGGATGTTCTGCGTGAAGTACGGACGGACGAGGACGCGGTCTTTTCGGGATCCAGGTGATGGCGCAGTGGATAGAGTCTGTCTAGGAGGAATGCTCGAGATGAGGTCGAGCAGGTTAGCGTGGAGTCGAGGACGTCGTACTAGCAAGAGATGTCGGGCAATGATGTACCTTTTGATCGGCGTGACCCTTCGCAAGACCGTTTGGACTGGGCCTTTACCATTGCTTTTGGGCCAGCCGGGCCCAGTCCAGAACAGTTCGTCATATTGAGATTTGGAGGAAAACTTCCACTTTCTAACCAAAAACAACTCCCATGATAAATCTCATTACCACATAAATCCCAAAAATGCTTATAAAAATTAGGATTATAGCCGTCGGGACCAGGACTCTTGTCACCATTCATGGAAAATATAGCTTCTTTGAACTCCTCAAAGATAAAGGGCATTGTCAACATATTATTGTTCTCATCGGAGGTTGAGGTACTAATGGCCTGTAAAACTCTATCTCGAGAGCTTGGCTTCTTCTGAAAAAGTTCAGAAAAATAGTCATGCACAATATTACACATCTCCTCCAGCGTTGATTTAACTTCCCCATTACCGTTGATAAGGGACTTAATGGTGTTAACCTTCCTCCAGATAGTCACTGTAATATGAAAAAAGACTTAGGTAATTTGAGTATGAAAAAAATATAAATCAATTCAAAAAAATTAAAAACATCATAAAAACAAATTGAATCACATGCATACATTTTTTATGATATACTAAATTAATATATTATTAGTTTATATTTAATATTATTTATTATTTTAATTTTATTTATTTAATTTTACTATTTATCTCTTTAAAAAAAGATAAAATAGAAATGAAAATATTTTATCTATGATAAAGATGAGAATGTTACGGTTGATGTATGGTAAGATTTGACAGGATAAAATTATAAATAAAAATATTAGTGTCAGTATAGTGCATATAATAGAGAAGATGGTGAAAAATAAACTTGGATAATTTGAGTATGTAAAGAGAAGACTTGTAGATTATGTAATAAAGAGAATAGACCTGATGGAGAGAAGACAAACAATTTGAGAAAAAGAAAGAAAGACTATAAGAGAAATTACTAAGAAAGATTTCGAGATTAATTATTTGAATAGAAACATAGTCTTTAATAGAATATTATGACGAAAGTTATCCATGTAACCAACTCCACCTAATGAAATAAAGAATGCGATCCTTATAAGCAAATAAATATCACATATGTGAACATCCCAATTCTTTAGACAGCTTTAAGAAACTCCTAAACCTGTCCATATCAAACTGCTACAAGATCTGCATTGGCATCTGCCATCTTCATGAGAACGATTTGGTTTCTTGACAGAGATATCCGACACTTAAACACTACCCAGAATGTACCTGACATTGAAATAACACACTTTAGATAGGTGGAAAAAAAAGGTCAAACTGGTAATTTCTATATCAAATAAATAAAGATTCTCTTGTAAACTATTTGAAATTGCTTTCATTAGACAGTATAAAAACGTTGCATAAGCATTAACTATTTGTATGCTATCTCTTCATGTGCATTCACTATTAGTATTATATCTCATACACTATGTTGTCAATTGCATGTTATAGCAGAATAGGGAAGCGGCGGTAAGGTTCAACGCGACGGTTTTGGCCTACTAGCTACAGTCAGCAATGGCAGTTGTTCGGAGCGACGCTTTTGGCCTACGAGAGAGATAATAGATGGATAAAATGCACTTGTAATATTACTCAATGAACTAAAAATTTATATGCAATTAGGTAACCCGCTTGCTGGAAACAACCTCTCTGTTATAAAAGTAGGGATAAGGCTGCATACATCCGACCCCCTAGAACCCATAAAATGAGAGTCTCATGCACTGGGTTACCCCCTCCTTTATAGGTAACCCACTTGGTTATGACATTGCTAACAGAATTCGGTTACACTTCTAACTGACTTTCGGTTTTGTATTGTTTGCTAACTAACTACTCTCAATTGTTTAAACTAGCCTGAAATACACAATTCAATAAATTTGACGCTCTTAATTATTTCTACTATCTGGTCGAACTCTTGTACAAGTGTACATAAAAGCATATATATTGAAGATTAATACACAAGCTAAGAGGGCTGACACAATGGATCGACGGATTCATCAATTCGACATAATCCATGCCCACTAACTATGTTATATAATAACTTGTATCACATACATCTGAAGTCTTAACCAAGTACAGCCCATCCCCTTAAGCTCAGGAACAATATAGTCAAGATCGAGTGCTGGATCTCAAGATCTTGCGACCTTACATGCTGAGATTGCCTAATAGTACTACGATCAGAGAAAGATTTTTTATACTGTCAACCAATCACGACCATAAATACAGCCAAATCAAAATATCATTTGTCAACCAATCACGACCATAAATACAGCCAAATCAAAATATCATTTGTCAACCAATCACGACCATAAATACAGCCAAATCAAAATATCATTTTAAAAAAATTTATATGACATGACAAAACTGTATGTTTCTATTAGATGAAAATGTTAATTTAACTCTAAAAACATTCAAACATAAACCAAAGACATTTTCATAAATTCATCAAAATCATAGCTAGCATTTTCATCCAGTGATTTTGCAAGAAAAAGAAAGAAAAAAGAATATGATCACAGTGGGAATCGAACCCACGACCTTTAGATTCGGAGTCTAACGCGATATCCACTCCGCTATGCGACCATTTTGTATAAACCGTAGTTCAATCAAAACTTACATGTGAAATCAAGGTCTCGTGTACGAACTCTGGTGAATAATCGCTTAGGGTAATTTACTCGAATCGATTATTTCACATTTTAACGAGTAAATTTGAAAAGAAAATCGATGAATGTTTATGTGAGTGAGATTAAGATAATTGATAGAAACAAAATCAACAAAAAAGAAAAACCTAGAAAGAAAAAAAGTTGAATGATCGCGTACGTACCTGGAGCGATCGCATCAGATTTGAAGGATTGAAAAAATGGTAATGCTGACAAATTTGAGATGAAGATGTTTCTGTCTTTAACTTCTTTACTGAAATGACAAAAAGTTAAGAAAATGAAAAAACATAATTGGTCAATAAACTGGATTTGTTTATTGTTTTGTTGTTGATCCTCTAGTTAGAGAAGCAGTGACAATGACATGTTTTGTGGGCTTATTGGAAATATGGGATGAGTCCATCTCAATTTTCATTGGACCTATAGGTGATCCTAACACCCCCATATTATTAACTAATACCTAAAATATCCCTTTCTTTATTTATTTATTTATTTTACACAAAAGATAATGTCACACAAGGACTTTCCAAAGGTATCCTTTTATTATTTATCTTTGACAAATTTTACAGTTTTTGGTAAAATAAACTAATCTTAAAAAAATCAGTAAAACAAAACAAAATTTATAGTATTAAATAAAAATCTGATAATTTTTTTTCACTAATCAAAAGACAAAAAAAAATATTTTACCTTTTTTTATTTATAAATTTGGTGTGAATTTTTATCTGATTTTGTCTTACCAAAGATTTTACTGAATTTTTTTCTCATTCCTAAAAATCTGGTAGTTATACAAAATGCTCTTTATAAACGCGTCTGAGATGGATGGTCCTCTGACATATTTCACATTGTTTTTCACCACTAACTTGGTATGTTTTACTTACGTATTTTATATGAACTTTAAAAAAATTTAATCGAGTTATGGAATCTATGAGAAATTCATCATATTTTTTGTTTGACATATATTTTCCTCTCAGAACAAAGTGTTATCATGGGCATAATTTATTGGGAGACAACATAGTATTATTGTTGTTCTATTCATTCTGATACGTCAAATAGACAAAGAGGCGGGGAAAAATTTAGTATGGGTTGTGAGAGGAGAGGAAACTACAAAAACAAAAACAAAAAGTCAAAAGTCACTTGTATTAAATGCTCATTTAAGTTGAGATCTGTGTAAAGCGGTGGCAGTTGAAACATAACAGTTATATATGGTATTCACAGCCATGACCTAGTTAGGGATTTAGAGGGACGTGGCAAATTAGGCCATCTAACACCCAGTGAAAGACAATTTTTGAATGACATGAAAAAATATCACTGGGCTCCTAGGTTCATGGTGGTTGCATCGAAAGATAGGAATGTTGATAATCTAACAACTGTGTATTAGGTGTTTGAGGCAAGATCAACATATCAATCTACTATCAAAGGTCCATACACATAAATACAATATTTGTTTAGCCTAATTCATGATGAAAAGTACGTGTGTTGGACCATAAACAATGAGGAATAAGATTTATTTCTGGTGTACTCTTAACACACCTTGATTCTATGAAGTTGTTGAAGATGCTTCACACGATCTTGATCTTTGACTGCACGTACAAAACTAACAGGTTTCGATTCGCACAACTTGTGATAGATGGTCTTGCGTTAACCAAATCGACTTTCTCGATTGGCTTTGTCTACATGGAATATGAAAGCGGAGAAAACTTCACATGGGCAATGGAGAATTTGAAGGAGTTGTTCATATCCGAGAAGTTGTCTCCCAAGGTCATGGTGATGGATCGAGGACTTTCCTTTATAAATTCCATTGAATTTGTTTTCTCATCCCCATTTCACCTCTTGTTTGTATTCCATGTTTCAAAAATGTTGGTTCGAAGTGCAACACTTGCAACATTTTGAGGTAATATGTGATAATATTCTTCATCTTGTTGATTATATACACCAAATATGATCGAAACCCTATAAAGAAAAGTTTGTTACTATATGGGCTAACCAAGTCACACACTTAGGGAGCACAACAACAAACAAGTACATTTTATAACATTGTGAGTTCAATATTATTACGCAAACTATAACCAATTTATTTATTGAATATATCTCTTGTTGTTTTATAGGGTAGAGTCTTCTCATTGGAGACTCAAAGACATGTTGAATAATAGTCAGGATATTTGTGCAGATGATGGGATGCAACCAACACCATGTTGAAGTTGCAACTAAGTTCAATTAGAGCATCATTTCAAACAAGTGTTATAAATATTGAGCATCGATATAATACTCTATTTTATTCGAGATGGCACGACTTCGTCTCAATAAAGTGTATACAAGACATATCGAATAAGTTTTAAAAAGTAAAAAGATTTGGTGCTGACAAAGTTGCATGTGGATGCTTTCACTAGACAACACATGGTTTATCTTGTGTGTACGGGTGAGAATATATCTGTTAGACTGCAAAAACTCATCTAGACGGGGGTGAATAGATGCACATATTAAAATTGGCATTTCAAAATGGTTACTTAAAAACTTATTTGAAAAGCAATGTTGAGCTGAAGGTTTATTAGCCTAGATCAAAATAGTAGTCTAAACAAACCTAGTTATTGGAAACTCGGATATGCACAAGCCATATGGAATTAATATAATGATAAAATCAATCAACATAATAATATCTCAATTAACAGTTTAATATCAAAACACAACAGTTTCATATTTCCAATGAAATCATATTAAAAACATAACTCGACACTTTATCGAACATGCGCGTGCAATAAATTTTTCAGAATTTTATTTGAGCTAAGTTGATATGAAAAAGCACTTACAATCAAAGTAATTATAAGATAATCAACAAAGCAATTTAAACTTTAACAATCAAACAAAAATTCTATACAAATTGATCAATCAAACAACACATTCAACAAATTACACATAGAGAGTAATTGAGAGTAATTGATATAAAATTGCAATTTTCCTTTGTGTTAAACAAGCTAAACAATTTGTCAAACACTTGGTGTGCAAGTGAATTTTCAGAATTTTCCTTTAAGTTATGTTAATACACAAAAGCACTTATAATCAAAAGTGATAATGAGCAATATCAACGCTTGATGTAAATAAAAAAATAGTTCAGAAAATTACTTACAATTCAATTGATAACGCAATTCTATTTGAAAATTTTATTGAAGAATATTAAAGCAAGTAAAAGAAAAAATAAAAGAGACACAAGGAATTTGTCTTTACAGTTCCCCATTATCGTTCTCACATGTGGGTATGTCTGTGCCTAATTCTTACTATGCAAAAAGTTGTTACAAGAGAAGTGTTCAAGAGCAACTCCATAAACCCTAATGCTTGTTGTTGATTCAACTCCTTCTCTTTTTTTGATCTTTGATCAAGACCAACACCAATAGATGCAACCTATTCTCCGCTTAAGCTACTTCCTTGCAAATATTTTAAACACTCCAAGGATCATTGCAAATATTTTAAACACTCTAATGGATTTCACTCGAGTAAATTTGATTGCACTCTATCCACACAAGATCTTCAATTCTATCTGCCACTTATTGCTACTATCTTGCAAAGATTTTTGAAATTCTGGTATTCAGATCTCAAATGTCCTAACATATGTTTAAGATATTGATCTACATTTAACAGCATAAGGACAAGACAGAGCATACTTATATAATTCATAGCGTCATGAAAGAAGTTCCAACATCTTATATGACATGTCAATTGTAACACCCTCTAACCCCGCATAAAATAAATGGCATAAATCAGAGTAAATTAGCATACACATCAAAAAAGGGCGTCACATTTACTTCACGACAACAAATTTAATACACTTGTCATATTTATAGCACGCATTTATAATCATGTTCCATACCATAACATATAAGCATCTCGCAGTGGAATAGTTCTTAATTCAAAACAATAATATTAATAATTGAAATCTCATACTATAAATCATATCATAAATACTAGGCACTAAAGGCCATTATCACATACATCTCAATCAAACATAAATATCCAGAGAGTATAACAACATTTCTCAAATAAACATGAATATCATAAACATAACATGAATCCAAAGGTTCTCCGTGTTACATATACCATAACATGACTCTTTACCTAGTAAACGGATAAATAAGAATCTAATCTCCTTCTACTAATCTTTGCTAGAAGCACCACCACTATCTTCGGTACCTGAGCGATGTCGTATAAAACATCATTCCAATAGAAGGGTGGGAATTCATATCATTATAGAAATATATAATAATAAGTAATGCATAATAAACATAAATCAAATGAATTCATCACACTTCACATAATCATGTAATTAGAATACTTCAACACAATTCACATGATTACATATACAACATTTCTCAACGATACAAGATTCAAAGATAATCAATCACAAATACCACATATGTAACATTCACACCAATATCACATAACGCACATCAATTCAATATTTCACATCGACACATGTGAATCTAATGCAACTCAATGCAATATGCATGTGGTATCAAATATTATCTTTATCGGTCCAGCTGGGTCCATTCCTCAGGCAGATAACCACCAATAAAAGCTCAATACGGCCTTAAGCTTTCAAACCCAATTCGGCATTAGGTTTGGGACAAGTTAATAATTCCTACGGAGTTACCAAACATTGCCCCTTGAAAAAATGATGCATGTTGTGATATGGTGGCAGAACCGACTGTTTTTACTGGTTTGCATTTTGCGTTTTTTGTTCGCAAAATGTCGCAGTAAGCAAGAGTCGCCACCGACTTTTATTTCATCCAATCATGGAAAAGGAAAAAGAACAGAAAAAACCTTTTTTTCGAGATATTCTGAGTACAGGGGGTAGATTATAGAAAAGGAAGGTGTTAGCACCCTTTCTATCCGTAGTTATCTACGAGCTCTTAGGTACTTGCTCATTTTTCAAATTGCTTGTGTGTGTTTGTCTTGAAAATGTTTTACTTCGTGATAACCCTTGTATCAGTCCTCAAGGATGTGACGAAGTTTGTTTTGAAAATTTGTTTTGAAAGGTGTTTGTGTGAAAAGTTTTTATTGAGCAAGTACTTAAGATTCCACCTACTCGAAAAAAGATTGCTCATTCTATTTCCTTTAGACAGTGCTATCCTACTATTAAGGAGTAGGTAGCACTGTCGTTGGAGTTGTAAGGGACATTCGAAACGGACAAGTA